TACGCCGAGGTGCCCCCCACCAAAGTGACACCGGGGAGGGGAGGCCCTACGCTGAGGACACACCCACCAAAGTGTCACCGGGGAGGGGAGGCCCTACCAACACAGGAGACACTGGGGATGGAATTTCCAAATGTCCTGTCTACAGGCGGGACAGACTAGGTCATGTGTCTCCTTTAAGTCACCCTGCAGTGGGAGGGGCGGAGTCTGGATCACCCTGCAGTGGGAGGGGCAGAGTCTGGATCACCCTGCAGTGGGAGGGGCAGAGTCTGGATCACCCTGCAGTGGGAGGGGCGGAGTCTGGATCACCCTGCAGTGGGAGGGGCAGAGTCTGTTGGGATCCCCCTGCAGTGGGAGGGGCAGGGGATGGAACTGACCATGACGATGGTGGTGGGTGTGGCAGCTGGCGGTCTCCTCCCTCTGTTGGCTCCTCCTCCTGCGGTGGGCCAGGATGTGGCGCTGCAGGTTGCGGCTCTGGTTGCAGCGGTAGGGACACAGGTGGCAGGTGTAGGGCTTGTCCTGGCTGTGGACCTTCTGGTGGCGCTTCAGGTTGCCGGGGCTGCTGCAGGAGAAGGCGCAGAGCCGGCACTGGAACGGCTTCTCCCCGGTGTGCGTCAGAAGATGGCGCTTCAGGTTGACGAGCTGCGACGAGGCGTAAACGCAGTGCGGGCAGCGGAACGGCTTCTCCCCGTTGTGCGTCTTCATGTGACGCTTCAGGTGGCTGGAGTAATGGGTGGAGAAGGGACACAGGCGGCAGGAGAAGAGGAGGCGGTCCTTGTCTGAGGGGCGGGGCTCCGGGAACAGGCAGCTCTCCGTTGTCTGGCACGGTCCGCGGGGGGACGGCAGACCCCCCAGCCCCGCCTCCTCCTGCTCGCTGAGCGGCCGATACGCCAAATATTCGTCCTCGCTCAGCGGGTAACGCGGCACCTCCCCCGAATCTGAGGAGACAGGAGAACACGTCACATGTATGACATCACCCCTCACTACACGTCACATGACATCACCGCTCACTACACGTCACATGACATCACCCCTCACTACACGTCACATGACATAGACTCCGCCCACATTACAGTCCCACCCATATCACCAAATTGGAATATAGACTCCGCCCACATTACAGCCCCACCCATATCACCAAATCGGAGTATAGACTCCGCCCACATTAAAGCCCCACCCATATCACCAAATCTGAATATAGACCACACCCACATTTACATGCAAACCCCTCCTGTGTCTAAACAGCCCCGCCCATATCAGATGACTATGCACCTAATCTGAATATAGACTCCGCCCACATTACAGCCCCGCCCATATAGACGGTGATCCCGGTATGGGGGAGGGGACTCACCCTCAGAGAAGGAGAGGAGACGCTCATCACACAGGAGAAGATCTGACTCCACGACCACAGTGCAGGCGCCGGGGCCTAGAGACTCCACCCCTCCCCCACCTATAATATCAGAACAAGATATGTGGGGGGTCAGGCTGGAGGTATACAGGCGGGGGAGGGGTGTGCCGTGTGGGGGAGGGGTGACATGAGGGAGGTATGAGGTGCCGTGTGGGGGAGGGGTGACATGAGGGAGGTATGAGGTGCCGTGTGGGGGAGGGGTGACATGAGGGAGGTATGAGGTGCCGTGTGGGGGAGGGGTGACATGAGGGAGGTATGAGGTGCCGTGTGGGGGAGGGGTGACATGAGGGAGGTATGAGGTGCCGTGTGGGGGAGGGGTGACATGAGGGAGGTATGAGGTGCCGTGTGGGGGAGGGGTGACATGAGGGAGGTATGAGGTGCCGTGTGGGGGAGGGGTGACATGAGGGAGGTATGAGGTGCCGTGTGGGGGAGGGGTGACATGAGGGAGGTATGAGGTGCCGTGTGGGGGAGGGGTGACATGAGGGAGGTATGAGGTGCCGTGTGGGGGAGGGGTGACATGAGGGAGGTATGAGGTGCCGTGTGGGGGAGGGGTGACATGAGGGAGGTATGAGGTGCCGTGTGGGGGAGGGGTGACATGAGGGAGGTATGAGGTGCCGTGTGGGGGAGGGGTGACATGAGGGAGGTATGAGGTGCCGTGTGGGGGAGGGGTGACATGAGGGAGGTATGAGGTGCCGTGTGGGGGAGGGGTGACATGAGGGAGGTATGAGGTGCCGTGTGGGGGAGGGGTGACATGAGGGAGGTATGAGGTGCCGTGTGGGGGAGGGGTGACATGAGGGAGGTATGAGGTGCCGTGTGGGGGAGGGGTGACATGAGGGAGGTATGAGGTATCTGGTGCCTCACATTTTACAGGCTGGGGGTGGGACTGTTTCCTCCTCGGCATTCTGTCTTCTCTCCAGCACTTCCGGTCGTTAGAGCTCCCCATTCCTCTACTTCCGGCGGCGCACGGCTTGCTGGGAGGAGTAGTTCCAGGACGGACGCCATTACAAAGCAGCGTACGGATCACATGATCCCCGAAGTGCTATCGCCCCTCCCACAACCGGAAAAACCAATCCGACCTCAGCCGGTAAGAAGAGAATCCGCCCATCAGTCAGGGAGTTCATCCCGGGGCCACGCCTTCTCCCCACTGGCCACGCCCATATACACAGTGGGTGAAGGGTGTGTGGGCGGGGCTATAAGACATAAAAGGAGGTGACTCAGAGCTGGGAGACGGATGATGGGGTACAAAGTGGGCGGAGAATGTGCTAGAAGAACCCCAAAACGTGTCCTGAAAGTGTATCTGTGAGATAACCTCCCCCTCCCATGTTATAGGGGAGCCCCCATAAAGTGAGCTGGAGATCCCCCCCCTCTGAGCTCGTACCGCATTGAGGCGGAGATCCCCCCTCCTCCGA